ACTTGGCAACGCTCATGCAGATGAAAAGAAGCCGAGCATGCCTGCTTTCTGTCTCTACGTCCATGCTCTTTCCTGCATGTTAATTCTCTCCCCTTCAAGGTCTCATTTAGGAATAAAATAACGTATCTTACTGTAAGCATTCATTCACACACTTATTGAGTGTTCCTTGTTTCCTGGGTGCCAAACAGATGCTTGAATACAAAGATGAGTAAGACATTCTGTGCCGACAATGGCTACCATTCATGGAACACGTACTGTCTAACAGACGGCGTCCTAAGCATGCTTCACCTGTCATTTAATCTACTCTTTATACCAACCCTATGGCAGGAATTGTTATCCCCACTTTACAGATGAGAGAAAGGGGAGCCAGAGAAGTTCAATAGCCCATCTAAGCTCTGTGAAGAGTACCAAAATACAATTACAGGCACACCTGAATTTAACATTTGAGCTTTCCCACACTACCTTAATTCACTGTCTTGATAAATCAAGTTGCATGCCCACAGGGAGCTTAAACATCTCATAGGTAAAAAAAAAAAAAAAAAAAAAAAGGAAAGAAAATCCAAAACACCCACCCAAAACAACAAAAAACCCCCACAATCCATACAAGTGATAATATAATAAGAAAGAGTTAGTGCATTTATTTCCTATTTCACAGCTGCCTTCTCTGAAAATGAAGTAATCAGGGCTAAAGTCACAACCAACAAACTAAAACATTAATTCACTGTTTCATTTACGTGTCCGTTATCAACTCTTGGCATCTGTATGCTGGAATTAGTCTTCTATCTCCACTATAATCATAACTGGATATCAAGGAAGGTATATGACTTTGAACAAATGAGCTAAAAATTCTTTATTTTTGCATTTTATGGTAGGAAGAGAAGATTAAGCCAATATTTTCACATAACAGACTTCCAAACCAGGCAAGAGTTAACACTTAGAATTCACTGAAGAAGTATAAGCTGTACTTGTGAATTTGCCTACAGTTCTTTGCTGCTCTTGTTGCTTTAGCAAGTCTTTGGATTCTGATAATGACAACCCTCCTTTTATAGTAACAGATTTTAGGCAAATGCTCTACAGACTGAAAAACCCTTGCAGCCCATACACTATCAAGCTAAATATCTTAAACCAACGTATAGATGGAGTGTCAGCAGTGTACAAGTAAAGTGCCTTCTACCACGGGATAACAAACTACCAACAAATCATTAATGTCCTCCTGGTTATCTATTCAGCAGTGTACCTGCCAGGTCAGCTTCTAAATGGGTCCTTTCAAGAAGAGTCAATTTTATTTTATTGGGAAGGACAGATATGAAATAGAGCCAGAAGGTTAATATGAGTTTAAGAGGAGCATAAGGTTATCTGGGCAATTAAACGCTCTCCAGGAGGTTAATTACCCACACCTAGGCCTTACAAGTCACAAAATATATCAGCAGTTTCAAAATTTTGTGTATAACAGACAACTCTATTCTACATTCTCAGTGATATCATTTAACTTATTTTTTGCAGGACTAAGTTAAAGTAACATTCCTTCTATGGTCTATTTAGGAAAAAAAAAAAGAAATGTTGTTCAAACTCCTGCAGCAATGTCATATAGAAGAAAAAATGTGGCCAAAATTGTACAATTTTAGAGAGTGAGAGTAAGACAGTGTGCGTAAGACAGAGAAAAAGAGAGAGAGGACAGAGGGAGAGATTGAGATTGAACTGGTTTCTGAAAGCCTTAGCAGATTTACTAAATGAAACTGTGTGTGTGGCGAGCCTGGGAGCTGGGTAGGGCAACGAGGTTGCTGAAGGGCAAGTTGGTATGTTTCTGATGACCTCTGGTTTTAAATGTCTTCACTCTAAAGACCACAGAAAAGCCAGTGTGCTGTTGCTAGCTGAAATCATGATAGGATTTGTGTTAGACCTACTTGACCCACTGCCCTCACCCTCATTCAAACCACCATCATCTCTCACCTGGATCTCTATAAAAGCTTCCCACATTTCCCTGCTGCCACTGGTCATCCTCAACCCCCACCCCAAGCCTGTCTCTGCCCAACAAGGCAGTCAGCCATCACTTATGATGGCAGTCACATCATGTCACCCCTGCTTAAAGGCTTTCCATTGCATTCAGGAAAAATTCAAAATCCTTACCATAGTCCCCTCTGTTTGCCTTTCCAACCCGCTTTCCTATAACCCCTGCCCTCCCATCCCCACCCTGCCTTTACACTCTTCATCACAGTGGTCTTGATTCTATTTCTTGAACAGAATCTTAACATCATGTCATCAAGTGCCACGTCAAACAAGCCCTCCTAACTAGTCTACTGAATGTTGCCTGTCACCCCCCTACCCCAACTTTTAGGCACTATCATGGAACCTTCTTTTAGTGGCTTCCGAGAGCTTCTTTCTGAAGTTACAGCACTTATTCATTCCATGTGCTTCCCCATCCTTCGTGCTCACTTTGTGTCCCTGGTACATGGAGTGAGTACAGGGCTTGCTACCTGGGGCTCCTTCTGCATTTCAGTGATCTGGAGCTTCTATCTTTCCTGGAGTGGAGTGGTGCTGTTAAATCTTTAGAAAGCTTCTAATATTATGTCATCATGTGATAATACTTAAAACCACAACAATTAACAATGATAACCACACTTTACTAAGCACCTACTTAGCACCAGATACTGGACTGGATGTTTTACATGTATTTTATATTTTAATCTCCCAACAGCCCTATAAAGTTGTTCATTGCTATGCTGTCCTACTTCCCTATGCAGATGATACCAGACACAAGTTGAATATCCCTAATGTGAAAACCCAAATTCCAAAATGCTCAAAAATCTGAAAGTTCTTAAGGGCCAACATGATGCTCAAAGGAAATGTTGAATGGAACATTTTGAATTTTGGAGTTTTGAATTAGGGATGCTCAACTAAGAATACTGAAAATATTCCAAAATACCAAACATTTCGAATCCCAAGCATTTTTAAAATTATTTTTTATAACAATGCATAATAGATGTATATAGTTTCAGGGTACATGCGATAATTTAATACATTTGTGTACTTGTGAAGATCAAATCAGTGTACTTGGATTATCTATCATCTTAAACATTTGTTACTGCTTTATGCTAGAACCATTTTAATTCTTCTCTTCTAGCTATTTTGAAATATGCAATAGATTATTATAAACTCTAGTCACCTGAATGATCTATTTAATACTGAGTCTTATGTGTTGTATCACACCATATGTTTGTACTAATTTATTAACTTCTCTTCATACTCCCCACCCCATCCCAAGCATTTTGGATAAGGGGTACTCAACTTGTACCGATCAATGATATTCTAGATCCCAATCTGTGTTAGTCCAAGGTACTAAAACCTTACTCAGTATTTATGTAAGTCTGTCAAGGATGTGAATCAATTCAGGGTTCTTTTGGAGAGTGAATTCAAATGCTTGGAAAATATTCTTCGTCTTTGCTCTACTATAGATCCATCCTGTGACAGTCACACTGCACCACAAACCTCCTGATGACAGAGACCACCTTGCAAGGGACCGGGCAGTAAGTGATCTCAGCCAGATTCCTCAGATAATGAGACACCCTTCCTGCTTCCTTCTGGGAAGTAATGGGTTCAACTATCTAAGAACACAGCCTCTCCAGGTGTCCGACTGTCTTCTGGAAAGGAAAGAACCCCATGAATATAATATAAGGTCTTATTTTTCTGGCAAATGTACTTAAGTTCTGGACCAGGTAGGTACTGCAGCCTGTTAATAGGATTTTGAAAAAAGAATTACTATAATTATTTTTTTTGGCAGCCTGGAGCCTTTTATCTTTATGAGATGATAGTAATGTTTTAAAAGGATTATCATAGTGTTGTATGATGATAATAATAATAATCCTTTATTATATGCAATGCTTTCAGAGTTTTAAAAATACTTTGATACAAAATAGAAGGTTTGATCCTAAGAGTGATCTTTTGAGGTATAAGGGATTGTAATTGTTTGCCAAATTTCATAGTAGGGGAAACTAAGGTTCAAGGCAATTAAATAGCTTCAAGCTATTCACAGCAGGGCAGCTTCAAGACCCACGTAGCCTGATTCCTAGTCCAGTGTTCTTTAAATAAATCATGACTGGTGAGCTAATTTAAAGGAGGAGACCAGAAGAGATTCTAGCATAAGATTTGAAGTGTGTGTTTGTGTGCATGTGCATGTGTGTGTGTGTGTATGTGTGTTTGTATGTGTGTTAGGAGGGGTGGTGGATTCTAGAAAGTGATTCTTAGGAAATAAAAGATTATTTTAGAAGTGTAGACACATTATAAAACCTTAACAAAGCCTTGAGTTCTAAGCATTGTCATCTGTTTCATATCACACCGTCACAATTAAATCACCGTGTCATACAAACTACCCAGGCTTCAAGCGTCCCAATAAAGACACTCGATACTTAAAGAAAGAACGTTCTGCAAAGCTCTTTCGTATTTATTTTCTCATCTCATAGCTTTTTATTCTCTCTCCAGAAATAACGCTTTTAGAGTTTATTTTGCTGCAGTTTCTGTCTTAATGAATTAAAGGAGTCCATTTTATGGTTTCAGCAATAGTCATCTCTGGCAGTGACTCAACCAGCGGCTTTCTCTCAGTTCTTTCCCCAAGAAAAGAAAAGAGGAAAGCAAAGCTTCCTCATAAATGGTGCACTTACACTCTTTCTCTTTTTACATCTGTGGCCCCAGTGGCTCACAGGGCTCTGCTCCTGAACTTTCTTTTCTGATTATTGACACGAGAGCCTGAAGTCAAGGCAGAGATGATGATACACCATTGTCTTCAGCAAAAGGCAAAGGCTGCTCTACCACCCTGGTTCAGCACACAGGAGCATCTTGAGAAGAACACACTAGAAATCCCTAAATTCAGAACATAGCAGCCCAAGAGAAATATCTTCACTTTGATTTCCACTGTTCAAATATATTGAAGGTGTAGTTTATGTTGAAGGTTAAAGAAGTTTAGTGAAGTCAGTTTTAATGAATTCCAGTTCCCTCTATGCGCTTACCTCCAGAAAATGTTCTGCCTGCTGTTCTCGATCCAATTTCCTTGAAGTTGTTGTAATCAGACCTGTGTAGAAATGAGAATATTTGACTTTTAAATATCTGGGGCAAACAGCTTACTGAGTGTGGGGAAACAAGTCCAGTTAAAGGAAAAGCAAAAGTGGTATGGAACTGTAACTTTCCAATCCCCCATGACAATCAGAAGGGTATCAAGAATCATTCTTAAAAGAAAGTAAAATTTACAAAGAAAACCTGAAAAATTGTTTCAGCCTATCTACCACAGTTGGCATACTGTAATTACTTTGGGGATGTAAAAACTCACTAAAGAACTTCTGTTTTTCTGATAATGAAGAGTTCCAATGATTCATTTGCATATGACTGAAATTCTACAGTAGAAACCTCATTAAAGATTTTAGAGTTCCTGAACAATTAATAGGTTGTTTATGCTGATTAGATTCAGGCTATGAAACAGTACTTTCTTACTTAACTTTTATATGCACATATAATTTTTGCTATACTTGACAAAGAAGGTTATTTCTGTAATCGCTACTTATACACATAATTATTTCAGATTTAATAACTTACACACCAAAGATCTCATACTGTAATTGTATCATTTTGTTTTATGTGTTTGAATCCTTATAAGTTCCACATGAAAAATATCTATCTTTTCTTCCAATGGTGTTTCTCATAAGTGAATCACCCCTTTGAGTATAAAGACAAAGAAAAGAAAATGAGAAGACAAAACCTTCAAGGCCTCTCAGCTTATTGCACCAATTTGTCTTTTGCAGGTTTTATTATTCCTTTTGTCAAATGGCAATTAGGAGGTCAAATTTATTTTCCATTTCTTGATTCCACGATGTCCCTAAAGAGAATATGGGGTGGGCTGTTTTCCTGGTGTATGCTGATGGACAATGGAGGAACAGAGAAAAATCATATGAAAAGCCTGTCCCAGTGCTGGTGAGGTAGGTGCAATGTGGAAAGGTATTTCCAGGGGCTGTGAAAGAGCTCTTGACCTCAGGCTTCTGTCTTATATAGAAGTGGTGGGTGGGAGCACACAGATTTTAGAGAAAGCCAAGAAGAGACCACAGGAAATTAAATGGCTCCCCACGGCCTTCAAAATAATATCCCACTCAGAGTAACACGGCTGTTTACAAGCTAGCCCCTCCTCTCCACCTCCACACTCCCCACAGGAGGAAAACCTGTGTTTCCAGCGTACAAATGATCTGACTTTCCATGAATTCATTGTGGAATGTGCCCCACAGATTTTTTTTCTTTATCTTTTTTATTGAAAATATAGATATATTGAAATATATGAAAAAAAATATATATATGGTAGAAAATGAGCTTATGATTCAAGCATACCATGTGAAATAATTAAATCAAGTCAATTAACACATCCATCACCTACAATACTTATCATTTTTTTGTGGTGAGGACATTTGAAATTTATTAGCAATCTTGAAGTGTACAATAAACTATTATTAATTATATTCACCTAAGCTGTACATTTCTACACTGAGCTAGATTTTTAAAATTTAGCTCAGATGTTAGCCTTTGCTGACCCTGTTTAACAGGGCTAGGTGGCCATCTGCTCTGCCCTCATGTAACCGGTGCTCTCCATTATTGATCTCTGCCTTATACTAGAATCCTTTGTTCACATGTCTGTATTTCCCCGCTAGACAAATTGACAGAGTTACTTCATGAGAAGGGCCTGTCTTTTGATTCGGAAACTGATACCTACCTAGTTCCTCACCTAGAACAAAGAATAGGAACTCTTTAACGCTTAGTTAATGAAAAGTTGCTCTGGAAGAGATCCACTGTATTTTATTCTTCAGTTTTGCTACAGACTTGGAATGTGTTTAAGAGGGTATTGTTTTGTGTGCGGAGGGTGTATTTGTGGTGGGAAAAGTTTGTGTGACATGTGTACTCATAAAGTTTGCAGAGTTCCTCTGTGTGAATGAGCAACGCTAGGCACTCTTGGATGTGAAGAGCTACTGTCAGAGATTAAGGAGGAAAGACTGCCACCAGGAAGGTCAAGGAGGATCAGTGACTTTCCTTCCTTAGCTGACCATCAGAATCACCAGGGAAACATCAAAAACATAGATTTTGTCTCCCTGCTCCATCCCTCATTTACTCTATCAGAATCTCTTGGGATGAGGTCCGTGATGGTCCTCTTATTCTAAGAGAAAGGTGCTATCCAATTCCACTATCTTTCACTGAATCTCACTGTGACTTTTTATTGACCTTACTTCTTCTGACCAGACACGCCCAAGAACGAAATAGACTGAGCTGCTCAAGCATCTCGATTAGAACATTGAGCTCAGTGTGTGTGGGTGTGGGGTGGGGTGATGGAGATAGCCTGTGAGTGCCTGCTCAGGGGAGGTGAGGAGACGAATAAAGGGCAGCACAGCGCTCTGAGTCACATTGATGTGGATGTCTAACACACACATCTGACGCCTTCATTTCTGGGCCATTCTATTGGACAAGGTCATATGTCACAGAGGCTCTTTCAAAGTGGGGAGTAACTGTCTTCTCACAAGTCAGGGGAAGCTTTCATGGAGCCTCCCCTCTCCTGTGTGGGGGCTCCTCTATTAGAGCCCACAATAGGAATGAGACATGCTTGTTATATTGAGGCTATAAATGAGTCAAAGGGCTGTTGGCCTTCACCCTGCTGCTCTTTCAACCACAAAAGACCAGAACCCCTTTGCCCTCTGTTCCCCTGGGGACTCACTATCATCACAGGTGCTCCTTGCCCAGGGTCACATGGCCACAGCCCACAGCCCACTGTGGTGTGGCTGTGCACAGGGAAGAGGGAGGTCAGCTTCCTCTTCTGATGATTCTTAGGGCAATTCTTTAGGACATTCACTTGTTTTCACAATGCCCACATGTAATTGGGAGAGCTGCAGGCTCCCCTTCACCTTCATACCTTCACCTGGATGTGTTTCTCACCTATTGATCAGCCCACAGAGAGAGACAGGCTTCCAGAAAAGTCTGAAACAACATACACAACAGTGAACTTGGAGCTGTGAGGAAGACAAGCAGTTTCTGTTTCTGGAGTAAAAAGACACAGGAAAGCCTCCACTGGTTACAGTTCTCTTGGCTTCTACCACCTTTATTTTCACAGATATGAAATAAAAGGCAAGAAATAAAATGTAAGTTAAAAGTGGAAATCGGTAGGAAATCAGATGAGGTGGTATGAGGATAGGGAGTGTCTGTTTGCTAATGGGTACAAGGTTTCTTTTTGAAGGGATAAAAATGCTCTGAAATTACAGACTATGGTGATGGTTGCACAATTCTGTAAATATTCTGAAAACAATTAAATTGTATCCTTTAAACGGGTGAAGTTTACTATATGCAAATTATATACTAATAAAGCTATTAGAAAAATCACTAGAAAATCATAAACTCTGACTTTAAGGTTTTAGTAAGTCTTTTATATTTGGAAAAGGTAGGCTCTTAAAAATATTTAAATGAATGAATGAATGAATGGGTTAGTTAGTTTAGACCTCAGGCATGAAGAAGGGTTGAAATGAATAGAGTTGATTGGGCTTGTCCATAGGAATCTGGAACATGGAAACATTGAAATTTTACAGTTACAGCAACAACTGGTAGTTATTTGCAGTTGAAAATAAATAAATACATCTTGTTATCAAAATCTTGATAAAATAAATCTTGTTATCAAGCCAGGGTCAGCTAAACCACTAAGGTGTAAAAGCTTTCCTACTGCTCAAAGTACCTTCTTATGATGAGCTACGGTACCTCAGCAGCACTGTCATTTTTTACACTCAGAAAAGAATGCAGTGAGCCATCCTTCCTGGCCCAGAGGAATTAGTTAAAATGACCAATGCTGCCTCTTCATTTGTAATAACTTTGTTGTAGCTGAATGCATTTGGAACAAATAGAGAATAAGACAACAAGACAATGGAGAACAAGACAAAATAGAGAGAATAGAGAACAAGACAAAACAGAGCAACCTCCCTCCTCAACCACTCTGACTCATCACTGGGGAAGGCAACCCCATTCTGTAATCGATACAACAGAGGTGTGTGTGCATTACACATGTAACTGTAGACACACTGGGCACAGTAAATTGGGGACTGACATGATGAAATTGAATTTCAAAGATAAATCATAGGCAAGCATTTGAATGTGGTTTGGAGATATAAACAAACACATCATTTGATATAATTACATATGCAAACCTCCAATTTAGGAGGGGAAGTACGCCAGTCCTAAGTGAATGATACTCAATAAGGGGGCGGGGGAGACATATGGCTGGAACTGTGCAATTACTTAAAAATGGTTGCTTTTGATTTTTTGTTATGGAGACGGAAGAATCTAATGACCTCTCTCTCTGAGAAACAGCCTGAGCATGAAAATGTGGCTGCTTGTTTGAAAGAACTCAAAATGTTCTAAGTAGTTGTGGTCAGAGAAGTGATACTTTTAAGGACGATACCTTTTCCCTGATTTTTCTGCCTGTGGGTGTCCTGGGTCGCAGCTGTGTAATCTGCTGCCATGACATTCACGTTTTCAAGTGCTACTTGAAGCAGTGCGGGTCTTAGCTGTTTCAGCATAATTCTGCAAGACTGCGGGAAGCTGGGTTTGGTGTTTTAAAAATACAACTAGAATTATCAGCTCTGTGAGCGACAATTAATTCTTTCCTCTATGTTTTTCACATCCCATTTCCTATGCTTCTCACTTCTTCAAGTCTGTACCCAGCTATCTGGTAAACTGTTCAACATCCTTCCAGACAGTTGAGTTGTTACTTTCTATGTGAAGCCCTGTCAGACCTTTCCTTACCTGGCATGTTGCATGTAATTAATTCATTTATCATCTGAATCTCCATCTAGACTACAGTAGCAGAAGGCATAGGCTTTGGGTCTTTAAACACAACTAAGCCCACAACCTAGATCAATGCCTCCTCAATTTTTTGAATAAAATACTACTTTTGCAGCACACAGCATTTTGCTCTAATTATTTGCCAAAGAGTCAGTCTTCCCTAATAGGAAACAAGGAAAAAGGTGGTGGATAAAGCTTATTTATGTTGTATTCCTGGTGTTTAAC